CACACTGTATATACAGTATGTATAGTGAACCGCCATATCTAGGTGGATATATGGTAACCCATGCATATCAAAAGCGATCTGTTGCCTTGGTCGTCCATAATTAATGTCTGCTCAATATATGTACTTGTATTAACCCACAGCGTTTTTATATCCAAATTTAGCATACACGCTTGTGATGGGACGATAGCGGTTTTTATTGCCATGAGACATGCTACATGTATATGGACGCACAACACTATCGTGATAAAACTGTATGTTTTATGGAGATAAGGCTTACATATCACTGTTTGACTGGACTTTAATCGGGCCTCTTCAGTCGTAATTGATTTCTGTTCACATGAAAAGTTAAGCCTATTTTGCACTTTGTCTACAAAGACGTAAACCTGAAAGTCTTTAGATACGGCGGGTTTGCAAATTTAATAAGGCCTATGAAAGGTCCTGTGAGAGTTCTGTTAGTGTAGGTCTATTGCTTAACATTGGTATTTGAAAAGTTGTTGTATCCAGGCTGGTGCATTAATCTTTTCTTGGTTAAATGCTAAAAAGATGTTTAGGAGCTTCAGTTTTAAGAACTGTACGCTGCCCTTATATGTAGATGTCAATCAGCATCTATACAAGACGATATTTGATTTGTATTTTAACACACTGTAATCAGCGTTGTTAATCATTTGTATTTTTTTTTTATTTGACTGTATACCTTGATATATACTGGTAATTAATAAAACAACAATTAATACACAAATAGTTAGATAATTATTGACGCTATGCTATAATAAGATGCTTGGTATAGGTCAGACTAATAGGCCTGTGGCTCTCAGTAATAAACAGATTCAATTATAATACGATTCCCATCATTCTGGTCAGCCCATAATTGTAAATAATTTAATATAATAATGGATGAAGAATAAATACTAAAACACAACACAACATTACTTAAGTTCATGTTTGACAATGGGTTGAGATTGACGCACTATACTACGCGCTTATTCCCATGTTAATTTCTCCTGGTAAAAAAGTTAGCCTTGACTCTGCCTTATTTGTTTACCAAAGGAATTCATAAAAGCAAATGCAAAATGGCAATCGCTAAACTAATATTTGCATAAATCGGTGGTGTTGAATATGAGGTGTTTTCACACCGTATATTCATAGGTGGACCCTAGATTGATGTGATGTAAATGAAGGTAAATAGGCATATTCTTTTCTCAATAACATTTGGCGGACTCGCGGTGCATAACCTTGCTCATAGTAGGCCTACGTGTGGCTGAAAAGTGTTCCAAAATTTGTAATAGATAGGGACCTGCGTCTTAAAATCAGTTCAAAGTAAGGTTGCCTGAAATACAACACAGATTATATTAATATTTTTAAAAATCTAATTTTGTTGGATTTAGTGGATAAGTATACCCTGTGCTAATTTCTTTTATTTGACATTCAGATTCCGATAATGTAGGCCTAGGCCTAAACAAGAGAACTTGTGCGCCTGTGCTTGTTTGGGAAACAAATTTCCGCTCCTAATAGGGCCTAAGTAGGGTAGGCCTCAGCCTAAAATTTTAGTTCGAAAAATAAGGATGACAAGATAATGACATGTGCTATAACATAAAACAAATAGACCTTTAGATAAAAAGAAACACAAAAAATGTGAATAGGCCCTATTTTGCCTATCAAGTAGAGCCTATAGGGGAGACCGGGGCTAGTTGGACCCCGGGGTAAGTTGGCCCCCCGTCAATTTATGAAAAAGTAACTACGAGGTAAAAAAATTGGCCACATACTCTTGCAAAGTGACCGTAGCCTACAATGCTAAGGAAGTGTCGGACGTTAAAATGTTTTACTTAAGCGGTGAGTCGAAATAAACGATTTTTGCACCTAAAAGTAATTTTGTTTAAGAGATTTAAAAATCTATTTTCATAGGCTTTTGATCGAATATAAGATATGTATAGGGCATCAAACTGAAGCTCATTGTTTCAAGTTTCACATAGCTGTATCATCGTTGCTCATTCTAGCACCATAAATGGCTACCATCCTTTAAAATAAATAATGTGCACCCGGGGCTAGTTGACCCCCTTGACTCGGGGCAAGTTGGACCCTCATATTACCCACAAACCTTTGCGCGCAACGCTGTTTGAAATAAACAAGTTTGTGAAATTGACAAAGCTTGCCGGTGTCTATTACCGTCTGATTGATTTTTTAAATTTTCTCTCTGGTGTCTTTTTGAAAATTTATATTAGAAATATTCTGTTGATTGTAAGTATTGAAAAGCAAATCCATTGGACTTTCCGTAGAAAAACATTTATTTTGCCTTAATTCATTGTAAGGGGATTCCCTTTGTATTTATAGTGTTATATGTGGCCCCAAGGGGATTTTCCACCCTTCCCTAGCGAGAGACCATTATTGAAACAAACTCAATGGTTTACAACTGAATTTGTTACTTTCTTTTAAATAGAAAATTTATTATTCGTTTTCATTCATTAAAAACCTTCTTTATACCATTATTTATTTATTCTTAATTAAAACAAAATATATTTTATTGATAGATATTNAATCAATTAAATAAATTAAAAATTTATAAAAATGTATTTCAAGGCGTTTACATGGGATATATAGGGCCTACTTCATTTTCGTATAGGGGGGCCAACTTGCCCCGACCCTGGGGCCAACTTGCCCCATGGCGGGGCAAGTTGGCCCCCTTGACGTCAACTGCGTTTTTTGTCAAATTGTGAGCTACCTGGCATTATATTCGAAAAATAATGACGTTGCATACGTAGCTTAGTTCATGGGGCTTACTTTGAAACCGGTTTTGTTACTCTAACCCACTCCTAGTTGGCTCTACAAGGCCAAAAGTGTCTAACTGGGCCAACTAGCCCCGGTCTCCCCTAAGTTTTGCTCAGTGGAAATTACAGATAGGCCTACAAGGGCCTTATGAAACATATTGAAGTGTTACTTTGTATTTATCTCGAACTTGAATGAAACTATAGGCCTACTTGAGATTTAGCCTTATGATTTAGGCCTACCTAATCGCGTCTAAATATGGCCTAAAGCTAGGCCTTATAATTAAGAGGCTTTGGCGCATGTCTTCGCATTAGGTCTAGGCCTTCAAAATAGGCTACGCGAAAAGTATTTTGAGGCGCGCACCTTTTCATCCCAGCGCATTTAGGCCTACCCTTTTGCAACTAAAATTGATTTTATGGTGCTACCAATAATTTCTATAGGGGCTGATCCAGGATTAGGCCTATTTGAAGGGGGGGGGGGTGGATGCGAAGCCTGAAGGGCCCCGAAAATTGGGAATTTTAGAAGGCGAACGCTGATTCAGCTAGTCAAGATTCTAATTACAAGAGGGGACCGTTAGCGTGATTATTTCAGAAATGAAAGGGGGGTCGACGACACCCCCACGACACCCCCTAAATCCGCCAATGATTTCTAGTCTGACAGACTTTTGAATTTAGGGCAATATTGCCATTAAAAAGGGATCCGAAATGTAGGGCTATTTTTATTTTATTTTTGTTTTATTATTAGGCCTATCATTAGGCCTATAATTTTTTACTATGATGGGTTTGCTACGACTAAAAATTTTAGCAGTGGGATACAAACGTAGGATTAAGGTTAACTACCCCGTGTCTCGACTATTGTCAATAATATTCGAGCAAAATACTGTTTTAATGCAGTCCAGTGGTGATTTTTCGTGGCTGATGGGGCACTAAAAACCCAGCGAAATCGATGGATTTATCTGATAGTTGAGTTGGTATGATTGCATTTCTCTGCGACGATTGTGGTTGATGTGAACATTCCCATCCCATAATAGTTTACTCCGCCATTTTGTCAAAACAAAATAGTCCTGTAAGAAAATGTGACTATACGCTGATATTAGTCAATATATGACATGCAGAGATAAATGACCGTAACCGTTTGAATAAATATTAAAATATATCAGCATAATGAAAATGATCTTGAAAAAAAGAGAAAAGTGTTCGGCGCATGTGTATATGCTGTGTTGAAAGGTTGTTTGCCTATGTTACAAGAAGACAAATTTTCTGCAGTTTGGGTCTAGATAGATAAATAACTGGGCGTTTCTTGTTGATTATACTATGGGTAATGCTCAGACAGCCAAGAAACTAGATCCAGCAGAAAATGGTAAGTTTCGATCGGTCGATTACTTTACATTTATGATCGTCTTAGGGATAAGCAATGCAGTCGCAGTCTTATTTGCTGTCATTGACAGTGCATCAGTACCACAAGTACTACTACTCCTGTTAATATCTCAATACCGTCGGTGTATGTTTTTTCCACAATCTTTTGTATTGAACCGAAAGACAACTAAATCAAAATTTATAGATCACATTTAGTAGATTACTACATACCTCGGACAGTGTGTCGTGAAATATATAAAAATAATTTGTTAATCAATGTGTAAAGGTGCATATCCATATTATTATCATGTGGATTGAATGTGTCGTCGGTCATGATACTGAAGTAGTGTAAATTCAAACCCAAGTTCCGATGGATAAGACGGTCTGTTCTGTTTAATGCATCAAACATGTACATAAATAATATTCTGGTGTAGCATTTACAAGGAGCTAACTTCTGCAAGCAGGGGTAGAAAAAAGGGGAAAAGAAAACTTCTGTAGCGTGTAGCTTTAAATGTGGCATAACATGATCATCAAGAACATGTAGCTTCAAAACTGATTGAAATTCTGTGAAGGGTATGTTCTTTGTGTTGCTTTTATCTGCATTATTTCATAACTAAAGCCGCTTTATGGAATAAATGTATCTGGATAATAATTGCCTGTTGTTAATGAGATTGATGAACCAGAAAGATTCCTTAAGGTTTCTGTGTACTTTTCTGAAAACTATCCCAAACAAACATTTTATCATAGATGTAACTTGCAGCATTCCTTTATTGTCCTTTTTAATCTGAATCAGATTGAATTATGTGATGTTAGGTATTCAAAATGTATATCATTGATGGTTAACAAATATTCATTTTTGTGAGTTGATGATTTAATTTTTCTACTTTGATGTATTCAAAATGTTATTGGCTATTTCTTAAATGTTACTCATCAAGAGCATATTTAAGTTGAATATATTTAGGTAAATTCGCATGATATTTGTTGTTGATGTATAGGAGATCTTATTTGACTCACTATACCCAACTCCTGATATGTACATACATACATCCAGATGGTGTTGTACGTTTGTTTTTAGTCTTTTTTCATCACTCTTCATTTTTGTACAGATAATGAGCAAGGGGCAATTACTCAATATTTCATTGTTCTGCAGATGTACAAATGTGTGTTATGATTCACATGTAGCTGTTAAGAGATTTTTCATGCACCAGAACTATTGAATACAATCTATTGCACCAGTTTAATCCATCATTAACCCTGAATAAATACCAGCATTTTAGCGATCCCAACATAATATTTTAATGATATCCTATATTTGAGTACAGATTTTATCATAATGAAATTATTGATTTATACTTAGATATTAGAAAATTGCATTTGTGTATATGTAGTATAGAAAGGTGTGAAAGAGCTTCTTTACATGGGAAGCTGAAATTTGTAAGTAGTCAAGGCCAAAATTAGAAATTCAATGATTCATTCAGTTCTATTTATAGCTGAGTAAATAAAACCATCTGTGTATACTTCAGTGGTGGACCAGTAGATTTATGTAGCATACTTATGCTGTGCAGCCAGCACCCAAAAATGGCTGTTGTTTACTAAACAGAAAATTGCACAGAAAAATATCATTCCACTTTATAAACAAGGAAGTGTACATAATCAGTTACATTAAAAAACACTCCTGTCTAACATATCATATGCCAAGAAAGATTGATTAAAGGAGGCTATTTCTTACATATTAAATCACAATACACCTAGTTTTCTATGTCACATATTATGTTTGATTATTGGAGGCATTATAGGAAAAGTGTACAAGACTGCTAATTGACTGTTTTTCCCCTTATTTTACAGTCAAGGCCTTTTTGGCTCAGGCCAAAGCTGAATTCAGTGACAAATGGGAGAAACCTTCACAGGTAAGTTACCAAGTTCTTATTCTTGAACATGTTTTACCTTGCTGATGGAACTGTCTGGATATCCATGAACATAATTAGAAGACTGGATTACTAAGATTCTTTTTTTTTATGTTCTGAAAGTTCTGTGTTTTACTCTTAGTAGTCCATGGACGCTTTCTTGAAATGCTAAAATGGAACTTGCATATCAATTTCAAATCTCTCCTCAATTCTGGACAACCTTTGTAAAACACTACATAGTGAAAGAGTATATTTCCTTGAACTTGCAAATGATATGACATTTCATAAACACACTAGGGTGATTATTGAGTCTGTGTTTATGAGTTTATTTTTAAGGCATGTAACATAAGATTCATGAATTTCTTATTCATTTTGTAGAATACAGCAGGTCTTGATGATTTTGAAAGAATCAAAACACTGGGCACAGGGTCCTTTGGACGTGTTATGCTAGTCCAACACAAACAGTCAAAGCAGTATTATGCTATGAAAATATTGGACAAACAGAAGGCGAGTTATTAATTGAAAGTTATTTAATTTTGAAAATGTTATGTTTTTTTTCCTCTGGTAGTCTACATATTAGAAAATATCTGTGAAAATGTAACTTCTATTCTCTGTATAGAATATGGTATTTAATTCCGATAATTTGTAATTACTAAAGACATTTGTTCTATTTGGTTTTCCAGAGTCTGAAATGGCGTTGTTTCTGGACTTGTACTAATATTTCTCCTTTTCAATCAACTTTTCAGGTTGTCAAGTTAAAACAAGTGGAACATACCCTTAATGAAAAAAGGATATTACAAGCCGTTTCTTTTCCATTTCTTGTCAGTTTAGAATATCATTTCAAGGTGAGTGTCAATATTTTCACAATATTTGTACAGGCACCATGTCATAACATATACATAAACTGTAAGATGAATTTATTACAGCTTTATTGAAAATTATATTACCTCAGTCTGTTACTTTGAACCTGTACCAAGTGATAGCTCTGTTTAATGTGTAGTCTAATAACAGCCTTTTCACAATGAGTTTTATTGATTTTTCGGGATCCATTATCTTCATTGCCACCTTACATACATGCTCTAATTTTAGATTCAGCACAGAACTCTACATAGTCTTGCTTTATAAATAAACTTGAGTGACCAGGGTAATGTGCTGAAGATATTTTATTGATGTTTGTAAACTGCATAGGTTCAGCTTTTTTTCCTATACTGTCTGTTCACTGATAGTGCTTTGTTTTTGAAGACTGATTGCAGAAACTAGGTCATTTCCAGAAATTTCATTTGTTATCTGTTCTGTTGCCTGTTCTTGGAAAGGGGTTTAAAGCTCCAGGTTTAAAATTGCAAAAATGTGTAGGATCTCAGAAGGCTGTTATCTGGTAATGGTAATAGGTTTTGCACAGTAAACGATATACCTGAGGGAAAAAATATCTTCAGACTGAGAAACAGTTAAAGCAGTTTCTATTGAAGCCAAAATAAGAATTTATATTTTTAGTAAATATGTTATTGATCAGTTGTTCCATAAACACTAGGAAATGATTCCCTTGAATTGTGCTTTTAAAAATTGTAACAATAGACAAATTATTGAAAGTATGTAGAAAATAGACTTTCATTTAGAACAGAAGTGTGGCAAAGACCAACACTATGGTAATCCAACAACACTGTATAATTACAACTCATTATGAATGATATTGCACAGAAATTACTGTTGACTCCCTGTGCATCTCTCAGGCATATTATCATATTACTGAAATGCTATAATGTGAACCATCTTATGGCATAGATTGAGAGCAGATCAAAGAATCTCTAGAGACTGGATACCATTGCCAAGTTACATATTTCTTAACTCTTGTGGCCACCATGCTATGAAGTGTAGGCTACCATTTTTGAATGTTTATCACACAGGATGAACCGCAAGATGTATATATATAAAAGCAATTTGTAATATGTAATAGGGATGAAGATTTGGGAGCTTCAGTTTATGTTCCTATAACAGAAACTGTAATTTATAATCAGGATTAATAGGGTATAAATATGAGTGAAACACATTTGAAATAGATTAATTTGGTAGTAGAATCTTCTAAGGTATTTTTTTATCACAGGATAACTCCAATTTGTACATGGTTTTGGAATTCGTAACTGGCGGGGAAATGTTTTCACATCTAAGAAGAATTGGGAGATTTAGGTAAGTAACAAGTATTTAAAAAAAGCTTTTTTTTATAATTTTTTTATTTTTTATTTTATTTATCAACTATTAAGATATATCAAAATTTTAAGTTAAAAATTGGTCATTTATCAGCCAATAAATTGTTTATTATTTAGTGGATAAATACCCCAATAAGCATTTGTATTATGTAACACAATCCAAGGGAGACCATTGGTTAAACTTGTGAAATTATTTCTTGTAAAAACCCCTGTATGTGTATGCATTCTGTCCTTGAACCTTACTGGCTCAAGAAGTTATATTTTTCTCTTTTGCAATTATTGTGGCATTTAACAGTATGGAAGCTTTAAATGATTTACAGTTATGAAGTAAAAGTTTTGCTGCTGCTACTTATAAATTTTGTTTGGGAATTTTATTTTAAAAAAGCATTCTTTTTTTTAGTTTTATTTTTGTAAAAATTGATTTTGCATATTGCTTTTGAGGAAAGCATTAATTGCAATATTATATACAATAATATTGTGTGTGGGTTTTTTAAATGATTTTATATTGTCTATATCTTTTTGCAAGTGAGGAAACAAGGGGTACATAAATATTTAATTGCAGACACTGTATGTGTCTGTATATATATATTCTGCTCTGTGTCTGTACGTGCCGTCTCCGTTGCCATCCAACATGTTTATTGTTCTTTCTGTAACAGCCAAACTTCTCTTTTCTTTAAATGAAAAGTTATTGTTTACTGAAATGTGCCTGTTCTTAAATAATAAATATTAAAGTACAGCAGTGGGAATGGTGTTTTTCTGTTAAGTGTCTGTATATTTGCCAGTTTTGCTGTCTGGTTCTTTTATTTGGAGCACATTATAATTTTACATAGTGTTGTCTTCTGAAATTTATATCAGATCGTACTGTGAAGAGAAAAGATCCTAATATTGTATGATAACAATGTAATGAATGTATGATAAGAGGTTCAATCATTAAATTGTATACCTAAATTTGTAAATTATATCATGCTGATTTTTCGAGAATGCATGCTGTAGAAAACTCCTAAGTAGTAAATGCTATGGAAATTTTATTATTTATTTATTTATTTATTTATTTATTTATTTATTTATTTATTTATTTATTTATTGTAAGTAGATGTTTCTGTAGCAAAAGAAGAAAAATTATATATCAATCAGTCTTTGAATGTTTTAATTAATGTAGCAGTAGTATCAGAAGTGGCCCTGTTTGTATGCATTTTGTTTGTTCTTACTTAAGGTTGAATCCAACCATGATGTTGTGAGGTAGCATATTTGATTGCATTAGTATCATTGAATAATTTTAAAAATTGACAGTGGGCATATCCTTGTTGGTTGATGCATATGTTAGTTATCCTTTTCAGTCGGGATCATTCATGGAGAATTTAGTGAAACAATGTACAAAAATAAGAAAGGGGTAGTAACATAAAATGTAATATATTTTGTGTGATATGAGAAAGCTGTGATGGTGGTGCGCAATTAATAACACCTTGAACCTTGAAATAAGTGATTCTGCGAAATTGGTGCCTATTGGGATTAGCAATAGGAGAGCAAAATTAAGAAAAAAATCTGTTTAGAGGTAATTTGCAAATAATCCAAAACCATTAAACAGTATGGACATAAATATGTCCATATTTCAAAGTTTGCTGTTGAAGAAAATTTTGCACAATATCTGTAACTATTTAACATAGATTTTGGTCAGTTTAACATGGTTTTTAATTTGCTTATTGTTTCAAATTCAAAGATGTACCCATGTTGAATGTGTAGTATATGTAGTAAAATAATCGCTTTTGTAGACCTTGCTTTTGGGGCTGAGGTTTTTCTCATTCTGTGCATGCTTTTGTAAAATTCTTAACATTATCTGTCTAGAATT